AATAAAGGTGGATTTGAAAAAAAAAGATTAAAGTCAGTCCCAAATTATATTCATTTTATTAACCTAATATTTTAATTATAATTGGTTGTTTTTTCTATGTTTTTTACAACTCAAAAATTACATGTAAAAATAATGAATAATAAATTTGATTGTCATTTGTCCACGTTGAAAACAAAAGAAATGATGCTTTTTTACATCAACAAATAAAACGTATCAATTGTTACCAGAATGTAAATAAAAAACGACGGTGTTATATTAAAAACACGTTCGCGAACCCACATTAAATAATCAAATACAACTATAAATCATAAAATTGTAACTGGAAAAAATACACCAAAAATAAAAAAATGTGTCGTTTGTCAAGAAAATAAAAATATTGTTTTTTAAACATCCAATTTATTGATTCATTGATTTTCGAAAATACTTCTACTTTTTTTCTAAAAATTTGTTAGCAATATATTCTTGTTATTTTGTTTGAAACCATTACAAATCAACTGTATTTATACACTTTTAGATGTTTGAAAATGATTGAATAAATACTAAATGGTATTAACTTTATTTGTGTTATTGGTTGTGTTATTAATTATATTTTTTTGTATTTTATTAATTAATTATAATTATAATTCAATTATATTATTTTTACTATTTTTGATAAGTTGTGAACAGTTTCATTCAAAAAAGACATTAAAAAAAATTTACTAAATAAGTAACGTTTATGGACTGAATTTATGATAAATTAATTTAATAAGCCCATAATAATAAATTTTAAAACAAATAATGTACTTATACAAAAATAAAAACTAAATTATTCTTGCGTTATTTACCGGTTTCTTAATTATATTTTGTAATCTCGAAATGACGCATAGATATCCCAAATAATTAGGAAGTCTTTACTTAGAGCAAGGCCTTCAACATTTGGAACAATTATAAATATTTTTCTGAAAAAAACAACTTAAATACTTTTAATTTTTTTTTGCTGGAAGCTGGTTATAAATAAACTAATTGGAATAATAATATTTGTAACAGTTAGAAACTTTTCTAAATTGTCGTTTTAAAAATAAATGTGTAATTTTCATTTTAAAACAATTTTGTCGTTTTGTTGTCAAATAAATACCATTTTGACATATATCGTTACTTTAATTTAAAAAATTTTATTTATAAATTGTCCTAGATTTTTTTCTATTGTATTACATATAATGAAACATTGAATTCAGTTCAAAACATTAAGTATATAATACACGATCATATTAAAATCTTAGTTTAAAGAATTGATAATTAAAGTAATTTAAATCGTCATTTTTTTCATTAATGACATTCAATTGTTGTTTTGTAATTTAATTTAAATAAGTTTTTTGTTGATAAAATAATTATAAAATAAATCATTATTTAAAAGTGTATCTACGTTAAAATATAGGTTCTATTTTTCAACTTATTATTATTTATTACAAAGAGAGGATATATACAAAATTTAATTACACAATAACTATTTTGTATTGTTATTTTTTGATTGGAATTACATTTAGATGTTATTTGTTTTATATTTCTTTCAACAAAATTCATTATAAAATGTTCAAATGATAACCTTTAAATTTTTATTTAAATAAACAAATTAAAACATTAAATATTAAACGTTGAATGTTTTAATGTGTTAAAACACGCACTACTAACGAGCAAGATTACATTTATATAAATACAATACAACATAAATATATTACAATTTGATTTTATTTATTTTTGAATTACAATATATCTATAAAATAACATAGTTATCTGAATAAGTGTTTATCAATGTGAACAAATAAATTTTATCCAACAGCTTAATAAACAATATAATAGTTTTATCATAAACTATTACTATTTGACAAACTCTACCATTTTCATTTAAATTTATAACACAATTTACATTTTTTAATAATAATGAACGGTTCCACCGATTATATTTTTATTTAAATATTCAAAAACAGAACAGCTGTATTTTATTATTAAAAATTTAATTATTTCAAACCAATCAAAATAAATGACAACAAATGTGAGTTTCAATGATTTTATATTTTAATTCATTCTATTTTAAACATATAATATTGTTTAATAATAATATTCGCTTAAAATGTGTTATAATAATCATCATTTCATTTCAATAAAAATGTTCGAGTTTAATAAACTATTTATTTATTTCAATTTTCGTAGTATATTATCCAACATACTCAATCAAGTTATGTTGGTTTTCTTCTTCGTCATCATATTCATTTCCTTCCTCCTCATCTTCATCTTCTTCGTTTTCATCTTCTTCATTATCCATTTTTAAAGATAAAGACTGACTCATTTCAAATGAATTACCATACAACAATTCATTAACTGCCTTTACTTTTGAATCTAAAGATTTGGGTAAATACGCGTTTGGTACATAAATAGATTGGTTAATTCTGTCTGCAACGTCATTTTTTGTGTTTGGATGTTTTATATCAGCACCCCACAAAGTTTGGGAACATTGCATAGTCGTGTTCACAACGGACGTTTTTTCCATCAAAGGAAAATTGTCATCTTCGTCTTGAGATGACGAGAATTCCTCTTTCTCATCTTTATCAAGAGAATACTTTGCAATTTTCTCTTCTTTTTCCGTCTCGAGACTTTTAATTTGTTCGTCGAGTGGAGTTCGTTTAGTGTCGATGGTATTATTGTGGATTGAAATTATAAAATTAGAAACTGTGGTTTTGTCAGTTACGCGGTCGTTTGAGATGCGAGTCAAAGTTGATTTAAATGATGAGAGGAGGTTCATTAAGTTCTCGTGCATTGATTCCAATTGCAACACACCCGCATCAAATGCTTGTTGCGATTTAATAATGTCAGAATAGTGTTTTTCGGCAGTGGCAATTTGAGAGTGTGGAAGGTGTGTTGAGTAGCTTGCAAATGGAGTGATAATAAGTGACTTTTCAAAATTAGAAACAATTGGGAGTGATGAGGAACACAAATACATGATGTCATTCAATATATTTTGCATGTATTTAATAGTACGAATAATACCAAGATTTATAAATTATTTTTAAAGAGTAATTACTCAATGGTTCGAATTCATTATTATAATATTATTTCATTATTCGTTGAATTATTAAAGTTTTTTTATAATCATTTTTTTTTCAAAGTTAATGATAAATAACGATTTGATAAGATGAACTATATTTTATTATAAACACCTATTTTTTAATGGTTACTATTTTTATTAATATTTAAATTCATTTTACTATTTAATTTAAGTTATCATAACACCTTTATTTGGGATTAAATCCAGAAATTGTAAACTTTATGCGTGTAATATATGGGTGTAATTGTTTTCTGTTGTTTTTTAATTTGACTTCTTCACACCAATTGTTTTACTGATTTGAGGTTGAATGAATTGCAATATGCTTTGAACAATAAATTAAGTTGTGGTTACATTCAAATTATGGTCTAAAGTTCAAATTTGTTTTACAATCTACTGCCTCATAATGCAAAATTAAGTTTATTATTGAATTGTGTTGTCTTGATAAAATAAGTAACCAAATGATTTGTTTTATAACTGTTAGTTGTGCTCTTTTTTTATTTGCTCAATCACCATATCAATTTTAAAAACAAACATTAAATGGTTTCAATTGTTGAGTTGTATAGTGAATTTACACAACACATCATTGTTTATGTACATAAGACAATTATAATAAAGTGAATGATAAAAATATCAACCAAAAGGGCAATTGTATTTTCTACCAGAGGTTTGCAAAATCACACTCCTAATTACCCACGTCACCATTTAAAAAATCAAAATGCTTATTTTCTCTTATAAATTAGTACATTATACTACCATAATAATTATTTTGGAAACGCATGTTTTACACTTTAAAGTTTTTTATGTTTTTCATGTTTTTTATTTTTATTTTTTTGGTTTGATTATTGAATCATTAAATTATAAAATTATTAACCATTAATAATTCAAAAGTTGAATTATTTAAAATTGCAAATACCAACAATACTTGGACTAAACCAAGTAAAATAAATAAGAAGAAACTACTTTAGAATTAAAGAATTCTATTTCTTGCGTATACGTGCTGATAATACCTACATATATGATTACCCGTGTTATAAACCATGTCAGGTTCTGTCCACCATCCGAACTTTTGGAATGGTTTTACAGAGTATGCGACATTCCACAGTAAAATATCATTTGATCTGCTGTATGTTAAATTGCTTGTAAAAGTTTTTTCCCAAAACTCTTTGTTTACTGCGACACCGACTTTAGGGTAGTATTTAAATAACAAGTCGAGCTCGTGTTTGAGGCAGTCGTCGTTCATGTCTGGAAGATTATACCACCCAACTCCGTCAATATCAAGCCACATGATATTAAACTCAACGTTGTTAGTATTGATGATGTCATTCATCTGATTAACACAATCAACAAAAGTGCCTATCAGTGGGCCAACATGAAAAAATAGATCGAACTGTGATTTGGTGTAGCCTGCTGCGTAAGCGTTGGCGGCACATTTATAAAAGTTTTTGTTGATTTGGTTGTTATATGTAAATACGTCCAAAATGACAAAATCAGACATCCCATTTGCTCGGAGACAGGCATATATGGAGGCATCTTCCTGATTGGATTCTGTGCCATAATAAGTCGCCTTTGTCATAGATAAGAAGTAAACAAGAATTAGTAACATTGTGGTTAATTAGATTCAAAAATTCTTAATATTTAATGTTTTTGTTTTATTTTTTCATTAAAATGGATTCTAAGAAGAACATTATCGATGAGACAATTTACTTAACAAAAAATAATAAAGAAATATACAATATCTTTTATTATTACACAAAGTGGATAAAAAACACTTTCATATTCTTGGTGTCTTTCTCTCATTTTAATAGTCATGAATAATAATATTATAATAAATTGTATAATACATAATTCAACCTCGTACAGAAAAATGTCCCCACTTAGCTAAGACCACCTTCTTGGTAGACAGTACTATATATTCTATTTTTTTCATTATAATTCATTAATTTTTGAAAAAGAAGTTAAAAAGACTTCAATGTTTTTTATCCATTTGTATTTTAAGTGTTTAAATGTATTTAAAAACATTAGCATTAAACATTCTACTAACAATAAATAATATTGTGTTATTCCTGTTTTTGACATTTCGATCATAATAGGATGAATAAAAAAAATAAAATACAACAAATTGTGGACAATAACATGTTAATTGCATATTATTCAATTTAATTGATTAAAAAATGATTTTCACAACAACATGATTTTTTTTGGAATTCATATTAATAATTACATATTGTTATTTAATAATAATAAAAAATAATATTAATGGTTTAAATTAAAAAGTAATGAATATTAATTCATATTATCAACATTTAAAATAAACTATTATTCTAGTTTTTATTATTATTTTCTATTCAAATGTTATTAAAATGTAATTAAAACATAAATACAATATAACTCAATACCATTGAAATATGATAATAATTTGTATTTATCATATTTCAGTTGTATAATTAATTCAATATTTATTTGTATATTAAATCAGTTGAGTAAAATATATTTATAAATGATTATTTATCAATACCTGATTCAACAATAATGATTTTGTATCAAAAAATATATAAACATGTTTTTTTATCAATTTTATATAATAGTCATGTTTACATATCACAATTAAAATACACTTTCTTGTGATTAATCAAATATATGTAAATTCCAAAAAATATTCACAAAAAAACATTTTAACATTTAGAAATAGTGACTGGTTAAGAATTTATAATAAATAATATATCAAAAAATTATAAATTTAATAATTCGAAAATTAATAAAAAAACAAAAATGTTTTATAACTAAAACAACTATGAATTTCTGTATTTCAAACGATTTATATTAAAAATCTATATTTAATACGGTGTTACTAAACTTAAAAAAATAAAAACTGTAAAAATACAAATTAGATGAGCAATTTTCAAATTACATTTGTTATATGTTGTATGATAACTTGTTCCCTTTCTTACAATTATGCAATTCTCCAAGAGGGCTCCAATTATATATCATACACCCTCGACAAGTGTTATTCGGATTTGACTTCTATTTTTGTGACACCCACATCATATTTTCGCATTCTTGAAGATGTCAATGGGAAGATTTTAGTGAAGTCCGGAAGTGTTTGTAAAGACAAGCATATGATTGACGATGCCAATTTGACGTCGATCTTTTCATCATACAAATTAGTCGATGAACTTCCTTCATTCGTTTTAGTTCGTTATGACTACGGAGTCTTCCTTGGGTGTCAGTTTGGAGAAGAAAAGGCTCATCCACATGAACTTTTGATCACAGATGGATGCAATAAGAATATTTCTAGTGCAGAAGGGTACTATGTTAAATATGACGTTTCAACAGAAGATAACAGGGTTTCAATCACTAATTATTCGGATTCCGAGTGTAAAACAGTCGTAGGAAATTACGACGTAAAAATACTTGGACAATGCAGTACAGAAAACGATCGTAATGTTATGTATTCCGAAGGAAATATTAAAATGGTGATACTTTTGGTGTTCATCATTTTAATTACTTTTTAATTAACTTTAAGTTATTTCTTTTAATAATTTTTATTTGTTTTAAGACAATTAAAAAATACTATAATTAAATTGTATAAAAGTGTATAAAGTCGGTCTAAAAACATCTTCCAAACATTTTTGGATCATTAAAACCAAAAAATACTTCAAATTAATATTTTAATAATTTTTACTAAGTTTTTATGATTTTTTAATTTCTTTTTTTTAACAATTTTTGGATTTTTTTGTTAAATAAACAAACTTTATAAAATAGACAATATTATCAACTCAAATTGATATTCCTTTGATTCATAATCGAATTATTATCAATTTATTATAAGTTATGTTAAAACAATTTATAACTTATTTAAAATATATACTAAATGAAGTTATTATATATAACAATTAAATAACAAAAAATCATGGATCTAAAACAACAATTTAGACAGCAATCATTCGAGATTATTTATTTTTAGAATAATTGGTTTTAACGATCCATTACCATTTATAATTATTTAATAATCAATTTAAAACATATTATTATTTTAATGTAAAATCGAATGAATTATTGAAATATACTTTAACCCAATCCAATGTCAATTCGTTTTTGATTGCTTTTATTAACATTTAAATCATATAATTAACAATAATTTTTCATTAATAATTTTCATTCAAAATTGATATTTTTCGGACAACAAATGGTATTTAAAGAATTCAAACTGAATATTTTTTCAAAAACTAAATGCCATTCTACATAATTGATGCATTAATCGAAGACTATGTCAAAATCAAAGATACCAAAGTGACTAGAAGTTACTTTTATGTGTTGTATTGGATATTTAATATCGTTTGTTTATTTATTATATTTAAGCATCTAAACAATTTTCGCAATTAAATTTCAAATTATGAATTAATATCCGAAATGTAAAAACCACTTAAATAACTGTTTATTATATAATAAAATATTAATTTATAGATAATGTCTATATCATTTCTCATTGTTGCGTTAGAATACAACGATTACTTTAGATTTGGACTTTTCGAAGACGAAAATATGTACCTCAAAACGTACTACTCTCTTTACTCATTGATACCGCTGTATTTTGGGTCTTTCATATTTACAATTGTATGTGTTTTTGTTATGCACTTTGTTAGCAGAAAAAGAGAGGAAGCACTGTTTAACCTTCTTACATTTATTTCTGTTTTTTATTTGATCATACCACTTTCAGCGTTTGGAATTTTTATGTCTGATTACTTCGTGTACTCATATAACTTTAATTGGGAGGTCGAAAACAAAGATATTGAAAATTTCGTTTGTTTACATAATATTATATTTATATAATATTATAACCATTAAATTGCATAAAAATAATATTATAATATTTTTAAACTTTGTTAGATATAAATGATTGTGTTTTGTGATAAATAGAAATATAAAAATTTTGTGATATTATTAAAAATATAATACATATTAGATATTAAATATTTACAAATATTGGTTTATTTGATATCGACTTGTGTTGTCATTTGTAACGTTGGGACAAAACGAAATATGTCATCAATGTAAATTTTATTGATAGATATAGTCAAATAATAAATATAATTATATACAAGTAACATTCCAAATATAATGAATTATACTAATAACCAGTTTGAGTGCATTTTTTATTTTGATGTAGACATTGGCACAACTCGACGTGCTGATGATTGCTATTTGGTTGCAATGAACAAAACCAAAATTGTAAAAACAAACACAGTGGTTGTGTGTGGTGTGTTTGGATTTGTAATGTTCATTTTTGATACACTCATTTACTCAATTGTTATGAAAATGCTTAAGCCAAGCACACACCTTTTTTACAGAGATGATGCAGAGTCTGTAACTATATTACCATCTGGAAAAGAAAATATACCTATTTTGCAAACAGACAATCTCTAAAATTCACTTCTTATTTTTTTATTTGTAAACTGTTTTCCAAAAGTCTGTACTGGGGTTTCCCGAGTTTTTCCATTTATTATGTTTAAATGGAAAGAATTTGCGAACTGGTATTTTGTAGAAATTTTGAATCTTTTTTGAGTAAATAAAAAGAAAAATGGTTTTTAAAAAATATTATTTTACCTGCAAAAAATTTTAAGGACAAAATAATTCTTTATAAACAATTAAATAACGAGATTTGTATTTCTGAAAAACACGTAAATGAACCGAATAGTGCATTTTAATAAATAAAGTTATAAATTCATGTCAATTTTTTTTAAATTCATTTCTTCAATATGTTTATCATTGTATGATTTGGTCAATAATGCTGTGTCTATGTTGTATTAAATTAATGTTAATTCAAATTACGAAATCAAGGTTTAAATAAAAAAGCCGTATAAAATTCTAATATAAACTGTTTTCCAAAACTCTGTACCGTTTCCAAAATTTATATAAACCCTTTGTCATAATTTCCCGTTATTTACTATTTTTTATTTGTTTTATTTTTTTATTTTCCTATTTGTTGAACCAACAACGGTACACAGTTTAAAACCCTTAAAAATCAATACAGTTTCAATTATTGAACAAAAAATCGGGAAATCACCCAAATATTGGGTAAATCTTTCCCGATTTTCCAGGTTCGTTATTTGGTCAGTGATTCATTTTATCACTAAACGTAAGAAATATTCCATCTTTCAGATAAACATAAAATAAACGACAATAAAACAATAAACAAATGATGTTATGAAGGACATTATTGCATCAAATGATACAACACTTTAATTAATAATAAGTTTTTGTTTAATTCAACAATTAAAAAAGTAATCGATAACAAAAAACAAACCTTTAAACAATCAAGTTTATAAATCAAAAGAGTCTTAAATAAAATAAACAGTTCAAAAATAAAAAATAAAACTTTTTTAATTGTAAGTCTTAATGTTATTTTTTCTCTCTCAATGCTTGTTTTACTCATTAGTACTTTTCATTTTTATACAAAACACGACTTGGTGATTCTGTTAACATGGACATTTAATTATAAAGTCGTGTTTTATGTTTTTGGCAAATTTTGGGTTATGGTAATCAAATTTTTGATCTCAAGTTTGTTTTTTATATTTTTCAAGTAAATTTTTGGTGGAAGATTTATTTGTCAAGTAAAATTTAAAAAAGTCGGGTTCGTTATTTTGTTTTTTTGAGTAAATATTTATAACAAAAAATGAGGGTTAAGCAAAGGAAAAATTATTAAGAAATTATTTGTCTAAAAAATCGGGGCATCCCAGTACAGAGTTTTGAAAAACAGTTTATATTTAATTTTGTACGAAAATAATTGAATTATATAAGTATTTTTTTACAAATAATATCTGTATTTTTAATTTTTTGTATTTATATTTTTCAGGAAAAAACAAAAATGAAAACGGGAATTTAGTAAGTTCTAAAAATATGAGGTACAGACTTTTGGACTAAAGGGGTGGAAAACCCGCTTCAGGAAAAAACCCGCTTTTGATAATTTAATGGTTAAATGATAATATAATTATAGTTTTTTAAACAAAGTTATGCAAAAAAGAAACTTCGAGCTAAAAGTTGTTAATAAAAATGTTTGCAATTTCAATTTACTTAACCACAAAAAATGAACAAAAAATACTTTGTGTAATGTTAAGATTAGTTAAAGGAAGACAATTTTATTCAATGCTACTTGTATTGAAACAATACAAAAGCCAAACAGATGCCAAAATATTTGCAAAATCGATAATTTGAAAAATGAAGAAAATAGTTTAACATTTTTTAGAATTATGAATTGTACATCGATGGAGCTGATAGTTGTGCTGGATTGGATGATGGGATTATAGTTGAAATGAATAAATCTATCGGAATAAATGGTGCAACATATTTTTGATAAACAATGAAATGGATCTTTTGGTGTGCAACATATTGACTATAACTAATGTGAGAATTATTTTAAATGAAATTAAAGTCGAAATGATTAATTTTAAGCGCAACAATCATTGTCGAAAAATAAAAATTGTATATTATTGTAATAAATGTAGTATTGGTCATAAATATTGTACAACATACTTTGAAACAAAAAAGTGTTCCATCTCCAAAAATATCAAAGATATTACAAATAATTATGAAAATACAAGTCTCTTTATAAAAAATTAAAAGGATTTAAGATATTTCAACTAAGTTCGAAAAACACCAAAGAATACATATCGTTGAATAGAAACAACGATATCAACAAGAAAGTTATCTTAAAAAATCGATTTGATTTTTTTAAAAAACGGCTGCTTCATTCAAAAAACTAATACCACAACATAAAATTTTCCAAAAATATTCACCTGCGTTTGCTAAAAAAAAATCCGACCATCATAAAACGCGTTTGATGGTATAATGGGAGCAATAATATTATTATAACTTTTTTACCCTTTTTGTTCACCAAAACAATTCCACCAATTTTTTCATTTTAAAATTAATGTTAACATATGTTGTTAATAAAATCTATATTATATATACAAATTTATAATTTATGTATTTAGCATTTGATTTTTAATCACATCTTTCATAATCAACACTTCATTTATCAGTTTAAGATAAATCAAATAACTGTAAATAATTTTGTTAAAATATTTTATTTTTTTTAATCATTGAACGAAAATTAAATAATTTATTTCAATCACTTTTGAATCTACTTATTTTTCCTCATTCATTTAAAAAAACATTGACATAGTTCACTTTACACCTTCTAATTTATTATTAACAAATTTTTTAATTGTATTATTTTTAGTAGGATATTTTATAGTGCTATCATATTTATAATTGTTGTTATTATCAATTTACACACTTTTAATTGTTGTTATAAATACAAGTTTCTTCAAACTTTACAAAATTTAATAAAAAAAACAAATTTATTACCAAAATCGTAAAGTTGTCAATTCGAAAGTATTAAAACAATTGATAAAAACAATTTAAACCAACTGAGTTAATTATTCGATTAAAGTAATATTAATTCCCGTAAATGAATCCTTGCAAAACTCCGTTGAACGATACAAGCAGACCTCCTTAAGTGAAACACATCCTTGAAAACAAATTTGTCCAATACTTTTCAAGCTTTTTGGGAAGTTAATACGACTGAGTTCCCGACAATTTAAAAATGCATTCCAATATATATTTTCAATTTGAGGTGGCAATGTCACTTCTTTAAGACTTTTGCACTCTTGGAAACAGAATCTGTAGATTATTTTAAGACTGTTTGGTAACACTATTTTACTCAAATTGTCGCAGTGACCAAAACATGATTCACCCAATTCTGTGATACCTTTAGGAACACTGATTTCCTTTAACGAACGACATCCATTAAAACAGTGCTCAGGAAGTTCTCCCAAACAAACGAGAAAAGTGACTGCACTCAACTGTCTGCAATTGTCAAAACAACTCATTCCAATGTGCTCGATTCTTCCACTAATGTTTACCTCAAGCAAATTTTTACAATAAAAGAAACAGTTGTCTCCAATGTTATACACTGTTGGTGGAAGTGTTATGGATGTTAAAGAATTTTCATCAGCGTAACAAGACGTTTCTAGTGACATCACATTTGTGGGAATATCGCCTTTTAACAATTCTCTGTCTTTTCGTGTTAAACAAACTTTTTTGAACACAAAAATGTTGTTTTGTGGGAATTGTGTAATACCGAATTCCACTTGATACCAAATGTTTACTTTGTAGAAATTAAATTCAGTGATGTTTGAAAAGACGGCGTTTTCTTTTGTAAAAATTTGGTAACCAAAGTGTTCATCGGTTTTGTTCCAAATGTTTAATGTTTCTATTTGGGGGAAATGTTTTATCATCTTTTTTGTTATGGGAATTGGATTAATGTGAAACCTGTTTAGTGTATTTTTAAATTTTGTGCAGACTTGTTCAAACGCGATAAAATCGTTTAGAGATGCAAAATATTTTGATACAATCATTCCTGTAAATACGTCCAAACGTTTCATTTATTTTTAAAATGTTAGTTTAAATTATTTAGTTTAAATGTTCGTCAAAATATCAAAAATGTTGTTTTACAATAAAAACTATAATTTAATATTTATAATCGTTACAAATAATAATATGTTTTATTGTTTATTTATTTACAATAGTCATGTTTAATATTGAAAGAGTGTGTTTGATTATTTAACTATAAGCAAAAGTATAATATAAAATTCTGTTTTTTAAATTAAAAATGTTGTGTCTGTTAATAAAATAAATAATAAGTTATAGTTGTTTTCAATTATAGTATCTTAATTATATTTTATTATTTATTGTTATTATTTGTTTGAATAACTTTGTATAGATTATGTTTACTATGGTTTGTGTTTACACCCATAATGTTTTTAAGCAATATACTCATGACTAAAAAACAAAAATAAGTATAAAACATAATTAAAAATAAACATTTCGCCTTTTGTTTAGCCTTTTTACAACACGTTTTTTGAAAAAAAAAGTCTTTGAAATTTTTATCAATGTTTTTCATAACCCGATTTTTTGTTCACTAACAGTAGGAGAAATGAACGAAGATCATTAGAACAATTAGGGCAACTTTAGTAAAAAATGTGAAACAGTAAAAAATACATTTTTGGGACAAAACCCTTAATTGACTATAACATTATTTAAATAACATTATTTAAATAACAAAAATTCAAATAACATTTCATTAATAACATAATACAACTTGAGAGGTCTGGTATCGCTCAAACTGGTTGTCTTCTATTATGTTAATAGATACTAACGTATTAAGAATACAGATAAGAATGAAACAAACAGTATGAAATAAATAGTTTTTTTTCGATTTTTTCTTTAACACTTAATTAATTATACAAGAAAAAAAACTTCAAGTCAATTATTTCTAATTTGATATTTTAGTTTTGGTTAAAATACTTTAATAAAAATAGCTCAAAAACCAAATAGCACAAAAACGACCTGCAAACAATAAAAATGGTTTCTAAAAACTATTTATTTCTTTACAATTCATATTTAAAATAACATGACAACAATATATTGTGGTTTGCCGGTTGTTTTTTCCTTGCCAGACAATTTTGGGGTATCGGTATTGGTGTTTTTTGTCAATTATTTAAAAGTATGCTAATATATTTATATACATAACAAACTTTTTTTTACTTTGGTATCAGTTGATAAAAATTTTAATAGATAATAAAATACTTAATTTAACATGCGCTTGTTATTTTTTTGGTAATTTTTTTTTGAAAAGTGTTTCCACTTTTTTATTTGTAAACACAATAAACTACTTTTCAACAAACTTTGAATTCACTAATTTACATGAAAAATGAAAGTCTTTTTATCTTCTTCTTATCTTGTGTTTTCGTTTTAGTTTTAATGTTGTTTGTGATTACATTAAAGCCATCCAAATATCGTTATACAATTATACCTAATTCAACAATACAAAATGCAATAACTTTTAATTACACAACTCCAAATTATCACAACCAAATAATATCAACAACACATTTCAATTACAGTGGAGTCTGTAGCAATGTTTTTAAATATCAACCAAACAACAAAAGGGACTTGTGGCTTACAGCTGTTGGTGTCACAAGTGATAGTTATTACAAGAAAATCATGAAAGACGTTCCTCTTGTGCTTGGTCTTGCTCATTCATCGATTCCACATGCAGATAAAGTGATTATACTTTTCAAAGGATACAACTACTCTGAACTTATTACACTTGCTCATAAGAACGGATTCAAAACACTTGAAGTTGACATGTCTTACATCAAGAAGTGTCAAGACGCCTCAAAGCGATTTTTTGCATTCAAGGAATACATCCAAAACAACACTGAGAAATACGACAGGGTACTTATTAGTGACTTTCGGGATGTGTTCATATTTGCAGACTTTTTTGCAACATTTTCATCAAATGATCTATTTTTCACGCCTGAGTGCACTTATGGAGGTAAAAGTTGTGTCACACTAAACGAATGGAGTAACAAAATATGGATGAGAAAGGGATTTGGTCAGAAGGTGTCTGATGGGTATGTTAAGAATTCATCGTTATTAATTAATGTTGGGACAACATTTGGAGGAACTGAACAGGTGTTAAATTACGTCAAACTAATGACAGAAACAATGAAGCCTGAAAGATATTCAGAATGGGGTCATGACCAAGCAGTCCACAACTACATCTTTTACACACACTACTTTAATCAAAGGTACAATTTTTATATCGAAAATTTGAAAGAAAAAACAATTGAAAACACACATAAAAATTATATTCTGGATAGATGCTCACAAAGATTTTGTTTTAAAGAAATTGGAACAATTGTGTACGATTCACAAAAGAAGACACTGTTTACAAAAGAAACTCGTTGTGCCCCCGTGTTAAGACACAAAATTAGTGCTTATGGATTAAAATTAGATTGGGATGGAGTTGCTCAAAACTTATAATTAAATTATTTATTATAATTTTATTATAATAAAATTGATATGTCAATAAAAAAGAATAATTCGTTGAAATGTTTGTATTTATTTAACACGTTGGAGCTTTCTTTTTTCTGTTTTATATAAAAAAAACAAAAAAGTTAATGTTTTATTTATTTGCCGAGTGTAAAAAATACAAAAGAGAAAAAACTAGTTTAAGTTCTCTTTGTGGTTTATTATACTTATGATTTTAGTAAAATTAATATTCAATTAATAACAAAAATAACTAAGATATTCAAATTGTTTTTATTTTAAAATATCTCTGAGTGTTTTTATAATAAAAAACAGAACGCTTAAAGGACAAGCGTTTGTAATAATTGTTTTGTCGGCACTCAAACATTTCGTCAATTTAATTCACACAAATTTATAGAGTGTTGTTTTAAAATTAAATGTACAAACTCTTACGATAAGCAAGAATGGCTCTTTAATCTACCTGTTTCCAACTTAATTGATATAAAAATTGTTTAAATTATTCAATCAACAATTGTGAATAACAATGAGCTTCATAAGAGCGTGGTCGTTTTAAAATGCTTTTCAATGATAGCCCACTTGATTTCAATGTTTTGGACACCAGCCAATTAAAGAACTCACGCCCTAGTAAACGTCGTCCAACAAAAATTTGTTGACATCGTTTGTGTCATTAACATTTTTTTGTGCAATAACATTTACTTTGACAACAAGACAAGTTGGTAGTAAGAATAATAATTTTACAAAACAAAAAAAAATACAAACTGATCTCGGGAATTTCTTTTTACGTTAATCAAAGACGTGGTGTAGAGACATCAAACATTAAATTTGTATAAATTATAAAATTCTGTTTTTTTGTTTAAAATTATTAAAAAACAACCGCAAAATAGCTTTTTGAAAATGGCAGAGTGTCCATACGTAGTATTATAAATTAAAAAAAACGTTAGAAAACAGAAAACGTTTAAAATTGACAGTAGTAAATTTAACATAAAACCTCTCCATGGTTGTTTTTGATACTTGTATTTAATTTTATTAATAAGTGATTATTATTTATATGGTCATAATAGTTTTGTGAAATATTATTTTTATTTAATATTTATTTACACCAAAAACATTAATTATTAAAAGAATACAAAAACGTTGTTAATTTTTAACTATAATTTTATCAATTTAAAAAACTATTAACTTTTTATTGTTTACAATAAGCTATAACTATAACATATACTGACACCTTTTTAGATGCCACGGAGTTGGACAAAAACCAAATCTCAACCAACACTGATTTTATTCTCTATTTTCAATTTATAGTACATGCCAATGATTGGTCAAAAAACAAATGTATCAAAATCTTATATGTCTGAAATTTAGGAACAAAGACAAGTAATTACTGGTGACTTATTAGTTTTTATATTGTAGGAAAATTAATAAAAAATCCATAAAAATATTTTGCAATAATTCTAAATGGTTTTTAACAATTTCCTGAAATATTCCAGTTAAGTTATTTAAAAATGGCAGTACAACTTTTTAAGTTCGTTTGTTTTTTTTATTGTAATAAAAACAACACATGTCTAATTCTTGTATAACATTTTCACTATTTTTTAAATTAAATTAATTATAAAATAAATTATTTATATTATTATATTAAATCATCACTTATTTTCCAATTTTACTTTTTAACTTTTCAAAAAAAATATAAAAGTAATAGTTTAATTATTAATTAATTTATCTTTATTAAAAAAAACAAAAACTCCCAAATTGATAGTTGTTGTTTTGCTGTGAAGAATTTTATTTAAACTTGTAAAAAAAATTAAATAAGAAGTAAAAATAAACTATACAATAATAAAAATCTTTTTTCATTTTTTTCTAACAAACAATTGGAACAATGTTTAGGGTTTTTTGTGTAAAAACAAATTCAAAATTACTTTGTATATTAATAAAAATTATATTTATAATAATAATTAAACTATAAAAAAAATAACAAATTATGGAAATATAATTTCGAAATTTTTTCTCTTGAATCGTAATAGGACAAAATGAATTATTTTATAATTGTTTTCATTTATGATAACTTGGAAATTATAGTTTTTAATTAATATTGGTGTTTAGCAGTACTTGAATGGAATTGAAGTTGCATTTCAAACACTTTAACCATTTTAAACATTTTAAATAATTAAACGCTAAAACGCAACCAAAAACCCGTGTAAAACGAAAAAAAAAACAAGAACTTTTATTCATAATGAAATTTTATCTTGTTGTTCAGATTCTTTCTTTACTTTTTGTGTTCTTTATATTTGCTTTTGTTGTTTCGACTGACAACAGTATTCACAAATTTTCTGTTACAAACAATTCCAACGTTATTATAAATCACATCATAGAAAATAAAAACAATGATAAACACGGCGAAACACACAAGGAAGTCACATACACAGACACATATCTCAACGTCTCCAACTTCAATTACACTGGCAAGTGTTCTGAAGTGTTCAAATACAAGAAAAACAATCCTCGCGACTTATTTTTAACAGCAATTTACTTCAAAAATCCAAATGTTTGGTTTACTATCAAAGATAGAGCAGTTCGCTGTTTAAAAGTAGCTCAGTCTGGTATACCCAAAGCCACCAGAAAAGTTCTTCTTCTTTCTGATGATGAAATTCCAGACTTTACAAAGACGATGAATGAGTTGGGAGTTTCAGTTGAAAACCATCCAATTAACACGACTTTCACCAATGGCGCCGTTTTAAGGTATTTTGCTGCGTACGACTATTTAACACAAAATCAAGAGAAATACGACCGAGTCGTATTTGGCGATTTTAAAGACATTTACTTCTTTGCGGATGGGTTTGCCACATTTGATGTGAACGACTTGATTTTCTTGATGGAATGCAAAGCCGTTGATAATACGAAGACGTGCGTCACACTTGCAGAACCGACTAACAGAAGGTGGATACAAACGTCTTTTGGAAAGGCAATTGCAGACGGCTATGCAAACAATAGAACTTTTCTGTCGAATGTTGGTGTTGTTCTTGGGGGGACGGCGAAGTTGCTGAAGTACATTGAAATATTTAAAGATAATGTTATACCTGAAAAGGCAGATAACTGGGGACACGACCAAGCTCTCCATAACAAGTTGTTGTATTCGGGATATTTTGAGAGTCTGAATTACACTAAAGATTATTGTACACAACGTGTGTGCTTTAGTGAAGATAAAAGTGTTGTTTGGGACGCTAAAAATAAGGCTTTATATACAAGAGGAACAGGGTGTGCTCCTGTTATTCGGCATAAAATATGGTTCAATAATAGGAGAATATATTATGAATAAGAACGGAAAATAGAGAAGTGACAGATTAGTTCAAATTTAATTGGTACTCGTTTTGTTACAGTTTAAATAACATCATACGTAATTCAAGTGGCTAAAAATAACCAGAACATCATAATAATATTTAATATTTAATCATTTTAATAAAAGTTTATGCAAAACAAATAAAATATTGTAATAAACATTATACAGATGTGGTAGTAAGGTTTTGACTATGCTTTCAACTAATAATTAAAAAATTCTATACTATTGTATAAATTAAAAATGAAAAGTTATATTTGGACCATGTTTTAAAAATAAAATAGGAAACTTGTTCGTTACTATTCAATTAGTAATTAAATAATAAATCGAAACCTTGCTTTTGTCGAAACTTTAGTCCCACATCTGTTTGTTGATATATTCTTAATAAAACTAAAGTGTTATTATTATCATTCATTGAAATTATATGTTATGGTTAATAATCATTATAAATTAATGTTTACTTTTTTTAATAAATTAAAACATTTGAATAATTATTATTCTTTTAAATATATTGGCAGAATAGAATTTATTATATTTTTGTATTATATAAAAGAAATGGCAGATTACAATTAGTTTCCAATTGTATTAATTATTATTAAAATATGTTACGTATACGAAGCAAAATAAAATGTATACGACATTAAAGTATTTGATTGATATAATGATAGTTTTCTTTTATCAATTATAAAATATGTACAATTTCTAAATGATATAACAATTTTAACAATTAACATATGAAATTTTATATAAAATAATCAAAATCGTTGGTATTATAAGAAATTTAATTCTGCCCACTTTAGTATTATTTTTTCTTAAGTAAATTAAATTTTTATTTATCAGTCAAAAACATATCGTATAATTTTGCATTTTTGGAAAGAAACAAACCATTGGAATAATTATCTTTGATTTAAATTTTGGAGAGTACCAACCACTTCTTGGATTGTCAGTCTTTTTTCTTGTTCTTGTACCCAACACTTCGAAATTAAATCATTCATTTCTTTTGAAATATTTGTTATATTCTCAAGCCGTTTGCCTGAAGTAATGAAGTCAGCAATGCCCCACGCAAATTTGAATCTTACATCGTCTTTTTGATACGCCATTTTCCAAGAAAAACATTCATATAAAGTGACTCCAAAAGAAAATACATCGGCACTTTTCTTGTACTTCTTTTTATTTAACACCTCTGGTGCCATATATTTTGGTGTTCCAATTCCCTTAGTGAAAGTCATGTTAGTCATCAACATGTTAATGTTTCTTGCGCTTCCAAAATCAGTCAACTTTGCATTCACTTTTTCGTTTGGATCAAGTGAAAATATCAAGAAATTGTCTGGTTTGATGTCCCTGTGTAAGATCCCATTTTCATGTAAATACAAAATCCCTTCAGCTCCATTCAACATGAATTTAACTCTCAAATTTAAGTCAATTTCATTTGAATTTTTGTGTTTCATTAAGTCTTGTATCGACCCATATTTTGCAAATTCGGTGACCATGCAGATTTTATTGGGTACAAAAACAGCACCAAAGAAATGAACCAAATACTCACTTCTGAATTTATCTAACATCGACACCTCATTTTCAAATTCTTCCATGTTTTTGGCAGTCTGTTTGGATTCTTTCATTTTCTTGATAGCAACATCGTTACCTCTGTAAAGTCCTTTGTAAACTATACCAAAAGATCCTTCGCCAAGTTTTTTCGTTTCTTCGATTTCTTGGTAAAACAATTTAGTCGAGTTTTCGGTGTTGGTTTCAATTGCAATTTTTCCTTCTTTTATTTCTCCACTGTTTATGTCCAGTCCAGTCACCAGCACATTATCAACAATTTTACAGGAACAAAGCGGCTTAATAAATATCTCAAATTCACAAGCAAACCCTCTTTTAAGTGTCACAATTGATGGCACTGTTCTAATTTCATAGTAATCACATCCAGATATAACACTAAACTGCACTTTTAATTTGTGCTTCGACATGTTTCCAATGCAAATCAAGTCTCGACTCTCTTGATCTACCGGGAGTAACTCTGTGTCTATATCAAACATTAATTTGTTTTTGTTTACCATTATTTTGTCACTTAAATTTATCATTGGTACATTCGAGCGATTCATCTTAAATATACACACATTTTTTTCTTTTAAAATTTTTTTATGCTTTTCAAGAGCATAGAACACAAGTAATATCACAACAATTATAATGAATATTAGTATTGCAAAAACAGCAATTGGTATTCCTAGTATAACACCATATTTGGTTCGTTTGTCACAAGAGAGTTTGTCATCACTTAAAACGTAATTATTTGCACAAGATGAACATTTGTTCTTTAATGAAGATATGCAATTTGTAATTGTTGAATAATGGACACATTTGTCATTGGATAAAATGTTATTATCACTACAATTTAAACATTTTTCTTTTGTGCATGAAACACATTCTTTATCACATTTAAAACACAAATTTTCGTTATTATAAAAACCATTTTCACATGACACACAACCATCTATCGTTTTATTCAAGCAGTTTTCTAATGAATTCAAAGTGTCACACAGTTTAGTTATATTAAATGGTGTTCTATAATAACCATCATTGCATGTCATACAAACACCTTCATTTGTACACGTTTCACAGGATATGTCACATTTGTTACATTGTTTCCCATCTGTTGTTCTCATGTATCCAGGTTTACAAACAACACAGCCGGTGTATGTCGACATTAACACGTCACAAACAGCTGTCAAGTTATTGATGTTTATACATTTTCCTTTAGAAACATATGAGTATTGATCACACTTTGTGCAATTTGTCGAATTGTAACAATTTATACATGGATATTGACATTGTATACATTCATTGTTTGATAAATAAAACCCATCTAAACAACGTGTACAACCTTTTGGCGTTTTTTCAATACAATTTGAAGTTTTTTGAATATCTCTTTTTAATTTTAAAGGAATTCGATTTGTTTCATTATTTGCGATTACACAACACAACTTTTGATTTAAAAAATAACCATTTTCACATTCAAAACATCCATTATTGATTAAATTGATATAAAGACATTTCGAATAATTTTCATTTTCAGTTCTGTTTTTACAGCCATCCACATCTTTGTAAAACCCATCTATACATTGTCTACAATAAATGGAGTAATTTTTGCAATTGATTTGGTCTTGTTGAAAACATTTACCATCCGAATTTATATTTGAATTACACACAATACAAACATTTTTATTTTGAATATGGCAGTCTTTATTATTATCAACACATGTACCATTTAAAACATAAGAATAGTTTGAACAACCAATACAATAACTTCCATTTGTTGCAGTACAATTGACATCTTTAAAACAAATGTTATCATTTGATATAGTATAATTATTGGCACATTTAAAATCAATTTCTTTATCGTTATAAAAATAACAATGATGTGCTTGTGTACATATTTTTATGTTGTTTAAATTTTGAACTGCGTATGATTCTTTTGCCAAAAAACAAAATGCGTTTCGAGATATATTACAATTTGAAATTGTACCACATTGAGTATCATTTTTACAATATATGCAAGTATTGTTGTTTTTGTTATTAATTTGATATTTACAGTTATTTTTGATAGAACAATTACCATCGGAA